CACGGGACACCCCGTCGGAGCCGCTCCCAGCGCGCCCGCTCCGCGCCTCGCCGCGCTCCTCGACCTGCGGGGGTGAGGAGCGGGGAGCTCGGCACTGCCAGAGCCGCTGCGGGAGGGTGGAGGAAAGCCGGATTCCCTCCTCGTGGAGGGATGGCAACAAGCAGGACGGGGGCGCGGCCGGTTAGACGACGGACCTTGTGCTGGTAACAGCGACAATTAAACACAAACGAGACAGCCTCCCCTCCGTGACACAGCTACGGAAAGCTTCACACCGCGCTCGGAGGCCCCCGAGCTCTTCTAGTCCCCGCGCTCTTTCTCTGCTCTCACTGAAGGCAGAGTACACCGGGGGCAAAATCTTTTCCTTGCTTTTGCCATTTCCGCCCCTTCTCTGCAAGCGCGTTCCCAAAAGCTGGCCCCCAAGGAGTCTTTTCCACCCTGGCTTTATAACTTTCTCGCACAGTAATCCGCGGGACCATTCCTCCCTGTCGGCGCGGACCCGGAGGGACCATCCCGGGGTATCCCACGAACCCGCACCCACGCCAGCCGTTCACAGCGTTTGGCCAAGTCCCACATCGGGCCGAGCGCCGGCACACAAACCACTCAAAGCCCTCTTCGAAGTTTGGGGACATGATTTGACCCTTCGTCCGGGCAGCGGCAGTAGAGGGACGGACTACAGTGCCCCGCAGATCCCGCCCGTGGGACTGCTTCTAGCGCTGGAGTGAGGCTGCTGTGGACTCGCAGGAAGGAGCTGCGGGGCTTTTGCACGCGCGTCTAAGGCGGGGGCAGATTGCCCTCCTACACTGCTCACGTCCGCCTGGGGCAGAGGGGTCTGTCCCCGAGCCCTAGCCCGCAGAGCCAGCACTGCCCTAGGGGAGTTGTGGCCGTCTTAGGGATGGGGATTCCGAAGGAGCCCAGGAGCGGGAAATGCAGGTTTTCGTCTCTATCTTCAATTTATCTGCCTGGTCACCGGTATTGAAAACTTACCGAAAGCTTCCCCTTGATATGGCCCTACACATCCGCATCCCAGCGCCCAAACTTTTCTGTGTCCCGTTCCCATCCCGTCTGCCACACCCCACCCCCACCTCCCTCAAGGGTCTTCCTTAGTCGCTGATTCTCGTTCGACGTACGTATCATCCATCGCAATCTTAGTTATCGCTAAATTATACATATTACTTTCGCAGCCTGTTAGTAAAGAAGGTTAAATTAATTTACATTCTGCTCATTATCTGGTGTTTAAATGACGTGTTTTTATCCCTGAGATTTGGCAAAGAATCTCTTTCCTCAGACCCCACAGCGTTTCGATGGAGACAATGCTCTTACATTTGTAGTGGATTTTAATCTGATAAGACTCTAATTTGCTTAAGTCTTTTAAATAGGGGGTTTAAAATGATTCTAGCCGTTTTCTTATTGAATTTCCTCTAATTCCCCCAAGATCATAAAGTATATGTGTAAAGTAAATATTTCCTCCCTTTGCACCGGCAGCAGATGACCTATAACTAAGTCAATATGAATCCAGCTCCATTCTGCACAATTTGTTTACCAATCATATCCCAGTTTCTTCTTAACCTCTCGCTACCTCTGTGGTCCCGCACCGAGAAGCGCCCCCCCGGCCTTTGGGCTTGGCGGGGCCGTGCCCTGACTGCGGGCGGGGGCTGCCCAAACCCCGGCCAGCCGGGCGAGGGGCACTTGGGAGGGGGCGCTGCCCCTCTCCAGCCCTCACGTCGGGATGAAAACAAGTGTAGCAAAGCCCTGGGGAGGGGAAGTCACAGAGAGCCTTCCCCCCGCATTTTTTTTTTTTTTTTTTTTTTTTTTTTTT